CCCCCATGGCTGAAAGGGCGAGCATGTTTGGTGTGACTGGGATTCGAACCTGCGACCCTCAGATTGCGAGTCGAGCACCCTAACCACATGGCCATGCTGGGCTGTCAGATGATATGGGGATGCATCTCTAGCTAGGGTGTTGGGCACCTGCATTTTGTGTAATACATTGTCAATGTCGACAAGTAAGTCAAAATCTTAATGTCCCAGTTAAAGACAACAGTTCGAGATCACTTTGGTGAAGCTGACCAGTGAACGTTTTAGGATGACTCTGCTTCTTACCACAGGGCTAAAAAGGTTAGCAATATTCATGCAGAATATGCAGTAGATGTGAAATATTTTGTTTGTTTTCTGAATTTTGCGTAAAGCTACAAGAGGGCTATCTGCACTAGCCATCCCTAATTTAGCAGTGGAAGACTAGAGGTAAGGCAGCTAGTCAACATCACCCACTGCCAACTCTTGGGCTACACTTTTACCATCGAATAGTGGGATTGACCGTCATATTATAATGCTCCCATAGCTGAAAGGTCGAGCATGTTTGGTGGGACGGGGATTCAAACTCATTTTACTCTATATGTATTTAAAAAACATCTTAGGTTTTATATCTTGCTTCAAGTGAATGATTATCTTCGAAGGGGGAGGAACAAAACACTACATTGGTAAGGCAACATCCCAGATTTCAACTCTATCTAAAACTGTTGTATTGGGTAACAAAGAGCCAGAAAAGAAACTGAGAGGAACGTTGGAATTACAGGAAGCCCTAATCTGCATGTGTCATCATGAACTCAACCCTGTCTACATTTAGGCAGTTATTAAGGCCAGAGAGGGCATAACCAAATATTAAAACAAGAAACAGACTCTATGACCACTCTTTTGTCAATTGTATTAATCACGTTAACTTTAAATCTAGGTTTTCTTACTCAGAGAACATTTTCGTAGTTGCCAAGTATTTGTTGGTTATCTGCTTCATTTTTCAATGCCATTATGTACAAGGGATGTCCCAATCTTTTTGAAATTCTAAACCTCATATCTAAACAATCTTTATGATCTCAGTGTATGAATATTTTGCATCATAATGGGCTGTCCAAATGTAGTTCCAATACATAATGTTCTACTGTAACTTTATGTCAGCTGTGGTTGTCATGTGACTAGCTAATTTGCATACTCACAATTGTCTTAATAAATAAAGGACTAACTTTATGTGTTGTTTTTCATATTTTGTAGTTTCTCACGACCTTATCTAGATTGCCTACATCCTGTTTCTTGTTTGTGCCACAGTGAAATGCAGACCAAAGTCATCTAAATGCATAACTGAAGAAAACAAAACACTTAAAAGTACCAAGTATTACGATACTGAACAAAAAACCTCTATGAACTAATAATTAAATAAAAAGTTTTTTTGCATTTGTTTAGTAAGGATATTCAGAGTTAGATCTCTTTAGGATGAAATATATTTTATTGGTTTTCAACAAGAACAATAAAGTCTAATAACACTACAATTGTTCAACTACAGACGTTAGTACACAAATTTAACATGAACTGATGATAACATTTATTCCAGCCTTTCACTTCTTTGAGAAAAAGAAAATAAGTGTACTATAAATGAAGATTTGCTCCTAAACAACAGTTTAGAAAGTTTACAAATCTGACCTATAAATAGTGAATATTTTTTACAAGCACATCATCACAAAACAAAAATTAGAACAAGATTTTATGTTGGTGTTTTATTTTTAACACGGCCTGAAGTTTACCTCTGTGAAGGACTTTTAAAAAGTTTATGTTTTGACTGTCTTGCTAATTCAGGATGAAACTGCATATTGTAATATCTAGAATTTTCCGGATCAACTAAGTTATCTCCACTTTCCTCTCTGGAAGTTTTGTGCAACCCTCTCAGCAATTTTTCTGTTCGTTCTCTTTCTTCTTTTTCTCTCTGTAGTCTTTCTGCACGAAGCTGCTCCACTGATACGTCCGAAGGTTGAAGATGTTTTTTCCTTCTACCTTTTCCTTGTTTATGTTTCTTTCCATTTGTGTTACTGCTCTGCTGCTAAGGTATAACAGAGCACCGTCAAAACATTTTTATCACCGAAAACTACAGTTTAAATTAATGGTAAAACAAAATTCCCATATGTATACTTACATTTGGATACACAACATGCTAATAAAATATTTGTATATTTACACTTGGATACACAACATGCTAATAAAATATATGTATATTTACAGTTGGATACACAACATGCTAATAAAATATGTATATTTACATTTGGATACACAACATGCTAATAAAATATATGTATATTTACACTTGGATACACAACATGCTAATAAATATATGTATATTTACATTTGGATACACAACATGCTAATAAAATATATGTATATTTACATTTGGATACACAACATGCTAATAAAATATTTGTATATTTACATTTGGATACACAACATGCTAATAAAATTATTAACCACAAAGTAAGATGTATATTTAGAAAACAATGATTAATTTGTTAAATACTTCAAATGACTACCTAATTAGTATTCATTACTTCCACGATTCTTTTGGATTATTTCACTTTTTCCTGAACAATGAATAAGGTCAAGAAATTTCTCTCCTACTTTACAAGTATCTGTACATAATACTAGACTAGATGTAGTATTATATACTGTCCACTGCTTATTTCCCTGGCCATCATTATAAAGACTAAGATACTAAGTTGAAGAGAGAAATGTTCATCAAGAGACTGTACTTTCACTTTCTGATTGTGAGAAATAGAATTTAAATAGCATAAATGAAGATTAACTATATTCTGAAACATTTTAAAAAAACAATATGTGTGTACAACAAACAAACAAATTTGGACAAACGACTGTCCAAAGATTTATCAAAAGAGGAGACATATGCTACAAACAGTAAAATGTCAATGTCTCTCCTTTATTTGTGGACATAGAAATAACTCGTTCGTGCACAAAATACGACTCTTATCCGTCCTATGACAACCCATCAAGCTACATAGTAAAAATGTAGGAACAGTTTGTTTGTTTCTTATTAAGCACAAAGCTACACAATGGGCTATCTGTGCTCTGCCCACCACGGGTATCAAAACTCAGTTTCTAGCAGTGTAATTACGCAGACATACCACTGTGCCACTGGTGGGGGCTATAGGAACAGAAGCACCATCCCCTACTAAGGAACTGGAAGGAAAAACAAAACAAGGACTGAACTCGAATTATATTGAGTGTGTTATGAAGATATTTTTCAACTATTCACTACATACTACAGTTATAAGGTGCATATATCCCTCAAAGACATTCTATTAATCGTTTTTTTCCAGAGGAAAATTACAATTGTCTGTAAGTTGATGATGCTAAATCCTAATTAAAAATATTCATGTACAAGTATGAGTTTGCCTTAGCATTTACTTTGAATATATATATATTTCTGGTTAAGTAAAGAGTGTTCCTGCTGTGGTACAAATTCTACCTCACACAAAGAAATCTAACATATCAGGACAAGAAAAACATCATTTTTTGTAGAAATTAACTGGTAAAATAGATAATATTAGTTTCAAGGACTCAAATTCCCTTCATGTAAGTATTGTAGGCTTAAAGGCTAAATCAATTCAGAGCCGAAAGTAGTTGTAAATGTTGTGCAGACACAGAAAAAAGTAAAGGGTTAGTCCAGCATTTCCCCAATTTTTGTTATCCATTATGAAAGATTTTCCAAACAAAATGAAACGTTCCATAATTAACAAACTTTGAGTCAGAAGTTCTTATTGATAATAATAGTGTGTGAACTACAATGAACACTAAAGATTATGTCTGAAAAGAACAAATGTTATAGAACAGAATGCCCAAACTACTTGTAAAGGTTGTACAAAAACTGAAAACATGAGGAAATAATTTATGACAAGCATGACAAAAGAGCTTTTTATTATTAAAATAAAACTGAAGTCATCCTATGTAAGTTAACGAGGAAAGTGGAAGAATTTGTATGCAGAGTGTGAATAAATCAAATAAAGACAGTGGACACGGTTGTTTTTCTGTGATAACAGCACATGATAGTATATGAAAATTGCGCACTCTGTGAATTGGTCATGTTTCCTATTGATCTTTGACAGAGAAATCAGTCATAAGCTGAAAGAACTACTTAGGTAAATGTGACCAACTAACTACCCTCTTTAGGATTATATTCAATCTTAAGCTCCAGCAAAACTTCTCAGAATATCATTTCATTTACAGCAGCAGGCAAGCCCAATTAATTAAAAATAAGGATAACCAGAGTTTCCAAGTTTTCTATCTTTTTACATGATCATAATGTTAAAAATCCCAGAGAAACCCACTCAATAAGTTACCCAGCAAGCAGGTCTTGTACCAGGACAAGAAATTTATGCCTACTGATGTGGGGAGAAAAACATTACAAGTAAGACAAATGGATTGAAAACTTAAACACACCTTTTCATGTAGAACATCTAAGTATAGGCACATGAAACTTGTAAGCAATTTCTTAAAAAAAAACAACAAAAAACTCCAGAACTTAGAAGGAAACAAAAACCATTTACAGGTTAAGAAAAAATAAATTAATCAAAAACTATTAGGGCAGTAATGTAGTCCTAGTACAATCATTGATACATGCAAAGATAACAGAAACTGCAGACACTTTGCAGTTTGGAGCACTAAACTCAAGCACGATACGACAATAACTTAAAGGAAAAAGAGCAATTATAAAAAGCCAAGTTCCATAAAAAAAAAAAGTAGATAGGAAAAAAATGACTAAATATTTTAACTGACTACCTATACAGTTATCATTGCTTCCATTATTCTTAGAGACGATCTTATAAAACATGTTTCCTGAACAAAGCATTTTATCAAAGTTAACTTCCATATAAAAAGTGACAAGAAAAAATGAGCACTGGGATTTAAGAAGGAAATTAAATCAAGCTGAAGCTTCCTATACACAAGTTATTGATAAATTTTGGAGGCATTTGATCTAAACCAAGTAGAGTATAGGAATTAGCAAAACACCTGCGGATCATTAAAAAGGTATGGATCTTGTATGTTCATGGGTCACAGGAGAAAGGACTGACAGGGCTTTCCACAAAAAGTGTGTTATCAGTTAGGTGGACGTCAACCTAGCATAGAAGTCGGCAAAACTTGGATAACCTTTCGAAAACATCTATATAGTTAAATAATTCAACTTCTAATGAGGGAAGATCCAAGTTTACTGGGTAACACATACACACCATCAAGAAGACCCAGAATTAAATAATGGCCACTACAAATACATAACATTGTCCTTGTCAAAACTTACCAGAAGACACAGCAGATTAGCAGCCAAAATGTAGGATAAAAACTAGTTTGTGATTTGTACCTAATTGATAAAAATTTTACTAATTAATAATTAGACATAGATGATCATTTAGGCTACTAACTACGACAACCAACCTTATCATATGATTCGCCAGTTTAAAAAGATTATCTCGCAAGGTGACAGAAGCAGTGGGAGAGATAGTGATATCTACTCACAGTATTTACTATCAAGTTGATAGTGAGATATTATAAAATACTGTTCAGAGCTGATAAAGTCATAAGTAATGAATTATAGTATAGCTATTGTATTTAAAATTAGCTTTTTTATCAACAAGGATATAGAACCTTAAAAAAACAGCCAGTCTTCCTTAGTGAAAAATATTTTAGGAGTAAGTAAACTAAATATGATTTCTTTATCTGATATGGTTTAAAAATACCACTAAGAATTTCTACAAATCAAGCCTATAGATTTAAATATTTTTCTTAAATTGAATAAAATGTATACAAATACAGAAGTGAGAAAAGAAGCTAATAATAACTTGTCTTCCATCGACTGTGTATGACAGAATAAATCTGACTAATATCTGAAGACAAGCAAGCTTATCCTTCGAAATAAGATTAATAAGCATAAAAAATACAAACATAAATATACACAAGTTTTTCAAGCAGTAGTAGTAGAAATGACCAAAAAAAAAAGGTTATTACTACAAAGTAATATGAAAGCTTAAACAGAAAGTTTTGAATTTGGAAAAGTCACGAAAATGATGCATATCAAATAGTTCTTCTATTGGGAACACATCACTGTTATGAATGTTTTTTACAATAAAATTAAACACTTTAAAGTAGTTTCACAATTAATTATTTCTGTAATACTGTGATTACTCTATTTTGTAAATATTTCTAAAGAAAAGTGTACCATGAATAATAACTTCATCTAGTTTGAAGTTAGTTTCACAAATACGGTTTATCTCCAATCAGCTGAACCACACAGTGTACAAGAACTGAACAAGTACATCTAACTGTATGTGTGGAGAAACCATATTTCAATCCATAAAGTAGTTTAATGTTCTCTTATTTACTAAAATCTATTTAATGCTTAAACACATTTCCTCAAATATCTAAGAATTGCAATAGAATCCTCATATCAAAATGTTTTATTTATTTTATTGTATTTCTAATAGAATATTTCATTTTGGATCGTAAACTTACTTTGGAAGCATTGCAATTCTCATGTGAAACAATGTATTAAAGTTTAATACACATCAGGACTTCAATCCTTTGATTTGTATTGAAATAACCTAATAATTAAACTTTGTAAAATAATTAAAAATGTCACAATTTTTAGTATATTATTACTAGAATTCTCAAAACATTGTAATCTTGCATCATCATTTCATTTCCAGAAACTTAGATACTGATACCCAAGTAAAAAAAGAAAAAACATGCAAGTGTTCAGTTTGATTACATAAAAAGTTATAGAGTACACTGTTTTATTTACAACTTTAAAAATATTTCCTGCACCTACATACCTTTGTCGACATTTTCTTTGTCTTCTCTTTTAAATGTTTCTGTTTAAGATACTGTTGAACATCTATTAGAGGATCGGCAGGTAAAACACTGGTTGGTTTTTCTTTCTCATCTACATTCCTACAGAATGAGTATTGTTGAACTACATATAAGTAGGATACAAATACAGAGAAAAAAAACTGATTTTAAAACAAAATATTATCAGTAGCAAATCAAAGACAAAACTGTGGGTTTTGTTTGTTAGGTTTGATATGAATTTTGTGCAAAGCTACACGAGGGCTATCTGCGCCAGCCGAACCTAATTTAGCAGTGTAAGACTAGAGGGAAGGTAACTAGTCATCACCACCCACTGCCAACTCTTGGGCTACTCTTTTAGCAATGAATAGTGGGATTGACGGTCACATTATAATGCCCCCACAGCTGATAGGGCGAGCATGTTTGGTGTGATGGGGATTCAAACCTGTAACCCGCAGATTACGAGTCGAGTGCCCTAACCACCTGGCCATGCCGGGCCGTGTGGATTTTACATTAATTTATTTTGTAACACCGACACCATGTTTTATATTTCATTTCTGTTAATGTCAACCTTTTCATTAAAAACTTAACAACCCACTAGAAACTAATGTTACATGGACCTCTGAAAAACAAATAGAAAGATACGAATTCTTAAAACAAATGCCCTGTGTACTTTTATCTGTGTAAATAAACATAGGAATATTAGTTAATTTTATACTTTTACCTTTAACCAAATTATAAACCACAGAACACCTTTCAGGCATTGACGACACACATGCGTAAAACATTTAAAATTTAAGTAAAAATAATAATTCAAGTATTTCAACAGTTTTTTTAACTTAAAAATATTTTAGAATTGTTGAAACGTGATTTTCCTTCACTTTTACTGGTTTTATTACCACAACCTTTCTTTGACATCCTTTTATTATCTCAAAGTTTTTGATCTGAACGACTTCTAACGAAGCTAAGCCTTGAAAGTAGCATCAGGCAAAATTTAAACACCATTGGAAAAAGCAGATTATAAGTTACTTATATTGACATAAAGTAAATCAAGTGGTTGAGAGAAGTAATTTACGGTTTCATGAAAAAGTTACTAAATTAAACTCTTGCATAAAAGGACAATAGAACATAATAAGAAGATTCTTAGAGACAAACTATAGATCTGGTAATTTTTTGTAATTTCTTTAGATGTTCTTTTCAATCCCAAAACGTCTTTGTGTTAAACTATTTGCTTGAAAGCTACAGAAGTTTTCATCTATAAGCATCACAGTATGGTATGTATTCGTTAAACCTTCTGATTACTCAAATCCTTAAAGGCATTTTATATTATTAAGTTTATCATATTCAAAAACAATGCACATAAGTAAAATAACATACTATTTTATTGAAAACAAAATATATTCATTAGATATAAATTAATTTCAACCAAGAAAACTGTTAGCAAAATATTGTAACCTAGTTTGACATGATGCTATTTCGAAAGATCAGGTTCTACGTCACTAATAAATCTGTCAGCTTTTGTAGTTTTTTAAATTTATAGCTAGAAGTACTGACTACTGTAATCAGAAAAAAATATCAAAAGAAGTAATTATATATCCAGTCAGTTCATATCATATATATATATACATGATGACAACGGGAAGTATTTCTTAATGTTTTTTTAAAACAGTTCCACTACAAAATTTTGGAAATTTCACAACATAAAAAAAAAAGACAGAAAAACTAAATCAAATTATAAAAATTTTGTTAAGCTGAAACCAGATACTATTTGTTAGTTTCATACATTTTGGTAAAACACTGCTACTATTACAAAGAAACAAAACTGAGAAATATCAATGACACCTTTCTGGTCTGGAAAAGGTTACATAAATAGTTTCTAAGTGGCTATTGCAAATCTTGCATTGTATCAATGTAAGCAATTAAATAAAGAGAGCCTTTTTCAGTTAAAACAATGGAAAAACCTACGTTTCGTGTAATTTCACATTTCATATCGTAACCATAAGCCAACAAATGGATAAGCATACTAATTTCAGTGAGAACTCTACAATACCCCAATACTGAATTCATTAATTTACTCCCAAAAACTGTCGAAAAACAGGGAAAGTTATTATAAGTATACTTTATATGCCAACATTCTACCTTACCTCTACAAAGCAATGGCATTGATTTACCAGTAAATCTTACAAGTGTAAGTCCATAACTTACTTTTACAAATTCATAGTAAAGGTGGTTTGTCATATTTATACAGTACATTAGGGTTAGAAATATCCTTATTTTTACCTCTATAGTAGAATGGGAAATGTAGTAATTTATCAGTAAACATTATCTGTCAAAATTCAAAGTTACTTTTACAAACTGAAGTGGTAGGTTTCATAACTTACCTCCATAATCTAATGGGGAACGTAGTAAGCTATCGATAAACGATATCTCTCTACATTCTTAACTTACCTTAACAAACTAAAGTAAAATTGGTAGTTAAAAGTTCATATTGTGTTGAGGTTAATAAATTATCTCTACAAACAGATGGCAAGTGGTAAGTTTATCAGAAAACATTTATTTTAGATAATTAATGCCAAATTTTATATACTATTTCTGAAATATTTTAGCACTTAAATTTGCAAATAAAATGCACATATTTACATGTAAACGATGGCAAAAAATGAACTATTTTCAGTGACCGCCCTTTTGCAAACTAATGGTCAATTTAACCTTTTACTTCTGTTAACAATCACAAGTTAACCATATTACCAGTGGCCATCTTTTTGGTGTTTAGTAGACACATGCTTAACAAATTTCAAAATTTAACTTTATTTCAACACATCCTATTCAAAATTATTTTACGACCAATATTTTTTTCATTTTCTAACATATTTATTTAGTATAATTTTGCATGGAAAATTTAAAAGTGTTAAAATTTACATTTCTGCTCAGCTCAGAGGAGTCTCATTTGTTTTAGATCTACTCTTCCTTTCTCAAATCATAGGTTTTTATTTGTCAATAAATGATTATCCTTTGAAAATACAAATAACCAAGTCTAGTTTCTCTCTCGCTATCAATACTGATTACCGTATTAGACCGTATATAATGTACATCCAGTTTTGAAAGGTTACAATGATGAAAATTTTTTTTTACACGTACAGAAAACAATTATCGATGTATTAAACATTTCTGGAAATCTTTGATTGAAATTTTTTTTACGTGTTAATAAACTAAGCTAATAATTCATCGTTACATAAATCTTCATCATTGCTAGAATTCTCTCTACAATCAGATTCATTGGATTTGCTTCAATGAACCTTTGCTTCATCCTCTTCTGATTCCCACTGCATGTCATCATCCATCCCATCCATTGCATTGGATATGCAACATTTCTTTTAAAACATTAATGATGCTTTGATAATTTTTGATGGCAGCTTCTAGTAAAATACCTAACAAAATTGAATGTGTGCAAATATAATGTGCAGTCAATTTTTCGGGAGGTATTTGGAGGGAAAAAAAAAGTGTGCATTATATTCGGGCAAATACGGTATAACAAGCCTTTTTTTAACTTCACATGCTGCGAGGTCATGAAATGGAAGGAATAACTACTAATGACTTCCATTTATGATCTCACAGCATGTGATTTAAAAAACTTCTAATAAAAATCGGGTTTGAAATTAACTGCAGACAGTCTAAACCTTATTAAATAAAGCAAATTATAATTATTTACATTAATGCTGAGTGAATAATGTGACATAATAGATAATTCACAGAAAGTGATTAGATGTATCTCCTGCAAAGAAGAACAAAGGAATTTAGTGGGAGATTTAGAAACAAACCACAAAACTGGACATATTTTATAGTTTCTTTTAAATGTTTTTGTGTTCATAAAAATGTTTTAGTGCAAAGTTATATTTGTTTGAAATTTACGGCAATTTTCTTCTATGACAAGAAATCAGGTTTACTGCAGCGACAGGAAAATATTTTGTTGACTCCATCCCTTATTTATTATATTTTACTGTTAAATTCATTGTCTTGAATACTATTCCAGATACTGTTCAGTCAGATTGTGCTAAGTTTTACTGCAATTTGGTTAAGTATTTGTATTATTGGAAAGAAGAAAATCAAGGGATATGAGTGACAATAATCCGAGAAAGATTAACTGATTTCAGTAAGTATTGTGTATTAACCACATGTCATATCTTATATATGTAAAGAAATTTAAAATTAGTACCAGTTATTGTAAACTATTTTTAACAAACTAATACCAAACTTGTATTTACATCTGTAAAAAAACAAACATATGTTAACGGTACATTTTCTAAGTTTTTACATTTTATATCTGTAAACAAGAAGATATAAAATGAGTTTTTTTATCACTAAACACCCCCATAAATGATTAATGCCAAAACTTACTTATAACTTCTGCCAAAACATTTCACTAAAGAATTAATGCCGAAGTTTATATTATACAATCATACATACTAACAAACTGATGGAATACAACTGTGGAGTAAACTCTATGTGACACTGAGATTTATGTTATTTGCTGTAAAATGTCCAAAAAGTTTAATTTTACACCATTTAATGCTGAAGAACACTTAAATATTACATAAACAGAAAACTTAAAGTACCTTACTGATTGACCATCTTTCTTTCTGATTCTTTCTCCTGGTGACTCTAGGTACCAAAGGTTTTGTCCTACAACACATTAACTTGATGTTAGACAATACTAAAAAATGAAAATCAGAGATATACTACACAGATTTTAGGTGCCAAGAATTTGCTTCCAAAGAAAACTGTTTTCAGTATGTTTATCTAGAATAAGACCAAAAGTAATGTGCATGTAGAGAAACTCAATCTATTTTTGATAAGAAAAAGAAACAAGGCTCTTACAACAAGATTACAATCAGAGTATATTTCACAAACCTGGTTTTCTTATCGCCGAAAACATTCATACTGTTGTCGAAATCCTCAATAAAAATGAAACCACAAGCAAAGATGCAATATTAGCAGATTTTAGATCTTATTAATTCAAAGCTGTTAAACCTAAAACAATTCAAACTACCATGTTAAACTGCATATTTTAGGTAATTAGTTTTTGTCAGTGAAAGGATCTTAAAAATGCTGTCAAAATTTTGAGATAAAGTTTATGTTCAAGTTATTACTTTGAAATATATATGATTGCTGTTAAACTTACATTGTTTCAATTAAGTTTAGATATTCCCTGTCAGCTTGTTGTCTATATAACAGATTTGTGTGTATATGCAAGTAGATAAATATTAAATCTGAAGTGAGCTTTTAGTACTTTCACAGTCACATTTATAGACGAACAACCCTTCCAGTGTCAGTATTATTTGTAGATACACAAGTATAACAAAAATTTTTAAGTTGTATAAAGACAAGTAGGGATCGATATATATGTAGCCTAGCTAGCTATAGTAATATAGAAAGTTTTAATGCTACAAAAATTAATTAAATAATTAGAGCGATAAGGTTCAATTATTTTCAATATATACTTGTCTGGAAAAGTCCCTTCAATGAAAATTTATTGAAATAATGAAATTCTGATACATTCCATAAACACATATATAATGATTTAGGTGGCGTTTAATTACAATAAGCTTTAGTTTTCCTCAGTCAATACTGTGATATAATCATTGTTAACATTCAGACATTTTAAAGGTGGTTTTAAATGAGCAATTTTTATAGATGCCATTCTGTTTCATCATGATCCCTACTATTAAGTACTACCGTACTTAATGATAATAAAAAGCAGAAAGACACATGCCTTAATGTTTCATAATTTATTTGAAACTTCAATGTGTAAACTTGTAGAAGTCTGAAGGAAATACTTTTCTTCAGGGAAGTGCAAAATTCCAAATTTGCATGTGTTTAATGTCATACTTCTTAAGGTTATATAATATAACATAACACAATGTTCTGGGACAACATGGGACCTATTGGTCCACCTTGGCTCTCCCATCCTCTAAACTAAACTATTAATAACCTAATTTAAAAGAATCTTAAAGCCATCCCTTATTTATATATTTACCAAGCTTTATTTTAAACTCACTTAAATTTACTGTATCCACAACATCCAAAGGCAATTAATTCCAAAGGCCAACCGCCTGTTAGAAAAATAAAATTGTCTCAGCTGAAGATGGCTCCTACCCTGACAAAACTTATAGTTGTGTCCCCTAGTTCTACTATTCTCACTGTTAAGTATAAAAAAAGATGATGCATCAACACTATCAATTCCCTTTACAATCTTAAACACCTTAATCAGCCCCCCCTAATTTTTCTTTTTTGAAAAGAAAACAATTTGAGAGATTTCAGCCTACCCTCATATGACAACCCCTCCATCCCAGGCACCATTCTAGTAACCGTCCTCTGAACCCTTTCCAACAGTTCAATGTTTTTCTTAGGTAAGGAGCCCAAGACTGAACACAATATTCCAAATGTTGCCTAACCAGTGACCTGTACAATTAATTGTTTAAGAGACTGATCCAGAAACACCAAATCTACACCCTTACCCTCATCTACATCTATAGAGATAATTTTTTTAACAAACCTTTTATGCGGTACCTTATCAAATATTTTTTGAAAATCCAAATACACCAAATCTACACTCTTACACTCATCTGCATTAGCAGTAACCTTTTCAAAGAATGTCAAAAGATTTATAAAACAAGATTTTCCCTTAGGGAAATCATGTTGACTATCCAATAAAATTCTAAACTTTATTAAAAGGCTTTAGGCATCTTTCATCAGACTTTCCTAAACTGTTCCCACAACTGATGTAAGACTAATGGGCCTATAATTACTGAAACAATTTTATCACCTCCCTTGAAAATAGGAGACATTAACTAACTTCCAATCCTCTGGTACCTGCCCACTATTCAAGGACTGAAAAAAAGTAATAGTAAGTGG